GCATAGGACAGGAGTATCTTCCCATTGGCGCTATGATGATCACTAAAGGAGTTAAATCAGGCCAACCACAATCTGCAAGGATAGGAGCAAAAGGCCAAGTTGATAGAGGAAAGTGCACTCATTGTGGAAACACGAAGCACACACAAAATACTTGCTTCAAATTACATGGTTACCCAAATTGGTGGCATGAATTACAAGCTAAAAAAAAGTGGGTCGGGACACCGCCACTACTATAACAAGCATAGGTCGTGCTGCTGTGGCCGTCACTAAACATAATATGTCATTTGTTTCAATGGAAGATTCTATTGCTGCAAACTTTGATCAAGGTAACTATGAACAAGTTCTTTATAACTCTTTATCCTTAAATGATGGTGCTTGGATTATTGACTCGAGGGCCACCGACCACATGACTTTTGATCTTGGTGATTTCTCACACTCAACATAACCTCGGAGGACCTGCATTACTAATGCCAATGAAGTAGCATGTCTTGTTATAGGAGTTGGAATTGTGCCCTTTACACCCTCTATTTCTTTATCCCATACTCTTTTTGTTCCATCACTATCTAATAAATTGTTGTCAGTAAGTCAAGTCACTGAAAATCTAAATTGTGCTATCATATTATATCCTACTTTTTGTCTTATTCAGGATATTCTCAACAAGGAGATCATTGGGTGTGGTATTAAGAGAGGGGGCTTATACTACTTGGATGACTTCAGTTCAGGATGAACAAACCATGTACAACATTGAATTAGTGGCAAAGAAAGTCAGATTATCTATAACACCTATTTCCATATTTATTTTCTCATGTTAAAAATTTATACTTGAAATGTGATATATGTATTATGGTCAAAATTCATAGATTCTTTTATCTGGCAAGTTTGAATAAAAGTATTCTTTTCAAGCTTTACTTCTTGGCACATATGTTCCTAGTCGACATTGGGATAGTGCAGTTGCTACGATAGTATACTTACTTAATCGATTGTCTTCCAAAGTCTTAAATTTCAAGACTCCCCTACAGGTTTTATATTCTTTTGTTGCTTTGCCTACCGTCCTTATGGTTCCTCCTCAGATCTTTGGATGTGTTACATTTGTTCACCTTCATATGAATCAATGCATTAAACTAGACCCTTGTGCAATATGTTGCATTTTTTTGGGATATAGACTACATCAAAAGGGCTACAAATGCTTTGACCCTGCTACAAATCGGACCTATATTACCATGGATGTAACTTTGTTGGAGTCTAAACCCAATTCAGCTCGTTAGGGGGAGACTAAGAATGAAAAGCCAAATTGGTTATGCCATAAAAAAAGGGAGATAATGTTGGCACCACAAAGTGATATTTCCATTGGCAATAATGAGAATATGAATGTAAGTGGCAGGGAATGGAATAAGAAGTAAAACTATCCATGGAGATATTGAAGGTAAGCACGTTCATTCTGACACAGAGATTGAGGATTGTCTTGATAGTAACTAGCTTGGTAATGACGAGCTAGTCAATGAGGAGTATACAAATGAGAATGGTACAAATACATAACCACTTCTTACTTCAGTACCTGAACAATCCTTTCCTATTGAGAAATTCCTTAAGGTAAGCTCTTCTAATGCTTTCCCACATGCTAACACCTTGGATGCCTCTATTAGATATACTCTACTTTTCAAGCACAATTGCGGGAAACCACCTACAAAGTATTCTTCAAAAGAAGAGGGGAGGTCTAGATACCCATCTGCTAATTATGTGTCCACTCAAAACTTATCTAGGCCTCTGAAGTCGTTTACGCAGATCTTGTCATCTTGCTATATTCCAAATAATATTGAAGAAGCTTTAGCTAATCCAAGGTAGGCAAGGGCAATACAAGAGAAGTTGGAGGCCTTAAACAAAACTAATACTTGAAAATTTACTCCACTTTCGGAGGGAAAAAAAGACAGTAGGGTGCAAATGGGTGTTCTTAATAAAATACAAGGCCAATGGATCAATTGAGAGATACAAGGCAAGGCTTGTGGCGAAGGGATTTACACAAACGCAAGGCATAGACTATCTAAAAACTTTCTCACCTGTAGCGAAACTAAATACCATCAGAGTTTTATTGTCTCTAGTAGCAAATTTGGATTGGCCCCCTACTCCAACTTGATGTGAGAAATGCTTTACTCCATTGCAATCTTGAAGAAGTCTACATGGATATTTCTCCAAGTTACACATCCTTATGTAGAACTAAAGTTGTATGTAAACTAGAGCAAGATTTATATGGATTGAAATAGTTAGCATAGGCATGGTTTGGTCAGTTCAGTTTGGCCGTGAGAAAATATAGTTATCACCAAAGCAATGCAGATCACACCCTTTTCTTAAGGCACCAACATGGAAAGGTGACAACCTTGATTATCTACGTGGATGACATGATCATTATAAGGGACGATGCAGAGGAAATTTCAAGGTTACAAAGGAAACGTTCAAATAAATTTGAGATGAAGAATCTAGGTGGCCTTTAAGTATTTTTTAAGGATAGAGGTGGCAAGATCTAAAAGAGGCATACTTCTTTCCTAAAGGAAATATGTGTTGGATTTATTGGCAGAGGTGAGTTTATTGGATTACAAACCGGTAGATACTCCTATTGTCCAGAACCATAAGCTTGGGGAACACTCAGACCAAGTGCTCACTGATAAAGGGAGATATCAAACACTAGTGGGCAAGCTTATTTATCTATCTCACACTTGTCTAGATATTGCTTATGTCGTAAGTGTGATTAGCCAATTTATGCATAGGCCTAGTTAAGAACATATGGATGTAGTTATTCAAATTCTCTGTTACCTAAAATCTTCATCAAGGAAAGGGTTGATGTTCTATAAGAATGGTCACTTGAACATTGAAGGTTATACAAATGTTGATTGGGCAGGGAATGTGCTTCACTTTTGTAGGAGGGAACTTAGTTACATGGAGAAGCGAGAAGCAAAAGGTAGTGACACTGTCCAGCGCTGAGGTTGAATTTAGGGTATAGCTAAAAGGCTCTATAAGCTTTTATGGTTGCGAAGGTTGATGACAAAGGTTGGTTTTAAGCCTAGTTCATAAATGAGTCTGTTCTGTGATAATAAAGTTGTAATTGACAGGTCTCATAATCCCGTCTAGCATGACTGTACAAAACATGTGGAAGTTGATAGGCATTTCATTAAACAAAATCTTGAGGAGAAGATCATCTGATTTCCTTTCGTTAAGTCTAAAGACCAACTAGTTGATATACTCACATAGGTAGTCTCTAGTAAAAATTTTCATGACTCACTTGGCAAGTTAGGTGTTAGTGATATCTTTGCACCAACTTGAGAAGGAGTGTTGTGTGAGTCAATGTAATCACAAATTCTTTGCGTTTTCTATTTTTACTGATATATTGTAATTATAGGAACCCCTGTAATTAAGGAATGTTATTTGCATAAGATTAGTTGTTAATATCGTATATTTCTTATTTAGGTCTCAAAATTTTCTCTCTTCTTATATATATATATGTATCTCAATTTGCATCAAAGGAAATCAACTTACCATTTGACAGTTGTTTGGTTCTAAATGAAAGTTCCTTAAATACTCCTCTAAACTCATGCGTTTTTGCTTGAGCGAGTGGACTCTCGCTTGAGTGAGAAAATCAAGCAATTGTTTTACTTAATTTTCTGATATTCTCGCCTGAACGAGAATGGGTCCAGAAAACTCTCCATTTTTCTGTGACTTCTCATCTAAACGAGCTATTTTTCACTTGAATAAGAGAATAATTGGAACAATATTATCTAATCTCACTTGAGCGAGACCCAGCTCGCTTGAACAAAAGTGTCTCAGAATGCTTGGTTTAAAAAAGTATGTTTCGCTTGAACAAGACATATCTAACTTGAGAAAGAAACCCTATACCAAAATTCTTATTTTCTAAAAGCATAAGTAATAAAAAAATAAAAGTGTCACAATTATTTTCTATAAATTTAGGGACCAAAGTGAGTATTTAGTTAAAGTGTATTTTCATTTCTCAAAAATGTGTATGACATTTGAGAAAAAAAAGTTGTACAATTTTGACTCCCAACATATTTTTGAAAAAAGTAAAATTAGATTTCAAGTTAAAAAATAAATTATTGCTTATAACGGTGTTTTTAAATAAGATAAAAGATATGTTTTGAATAAGATTTTAGAAAAAAAAAGATTTCTTTTTAGTTTTAAATTTAGATTTGTATAATATTTATAAAAATAATTAAAAGCTTGTGAAGTTTATGCTAATCTATTATTTTCCTTTGTTTTGAAAATATATCAAATCAGAGAATATTATTTTGGAAATAAAACAATTATATTTACTTTTATTTTCTTCAAACTTCTATACTAAGCAAACAATGGTAGAGAAGAAAAAATAGACGCAAAATGTGAATAAGCATATTACGAAATAAATTACACAGTTCATTTCCTTTTCTTTCTTAATTCTTAGCCAACTTGTTTCTGGGAAGAAAAATGGAAATTGATTAGCATAACATCAAACATACCTGGATAGGCTATGGAGTTTTAGGAAATGACAAATATATATTTTTTTCACTAAAATCTAGACAAACGTTTAAAACACAATTTTAAAGTCAAACTTAAGTTTTTTTTTTTCTTGGTACATATACGTGAACTTGATCTCTATTCTTCTAATGGATTGTTCAATAATAATAATAATAATAATAAAACAATAAAAATCACATTGAATTTACAATTGATTCAAATTTTAAGATTATACTACAAATCAAGCATAAGATAGCCATTACCATGCACTCATCAAAGTAAATAGTCTTAGAAAAAAAAAAAGAAAATATTAGCATATGCTTTGGCCGCTAATATGAGAATAAAGGAAGAATAAAAATGCAATAAATCTTAGATCCTTATCCAAACACAATTCTCATATTCCGAAATAATCTATCCTTAATAATTAAAACAACAAATTACCCAAATCCACAGTATCCAGCCCTCTCAAGCATCTTTAAATACAACCTACTGAAAAGTCTACATTCAACGACTCTTGAAATTCCTTTCACGTTTGGTAGTTAATTCCCGGAAAAATCCCACAACGAGGTTATTTACCCTCAATATCGTGGGATCTCAACTTTGTTTGGTGGGTCTAGGAGGTCCAAAGTAGTTCGTTATCAATCCCATTAAAGAAAACCTAGAATTCAGATTAACATCAAGCCATCAGTGAGGAAAATGACGCGAAATATATATCGTGTTCACAGTAGGATAAAGAAATGAACAAAGATAAAAAACTACAAATCACAATTCACACACCCGCACACGAACTAGTAATCTACTATCTACTCCCATTTATTTACTAGAAGTAGCAGTACTTGGAAAACTACCTCTTTAGGAGTATTTAAGAAATTCAAGTTGAAACTTGGTAAAATTCTCTTTCAAAAAAAAAAAAAAAAACACAAGTAGGAGTATCCAAGATTAACAGCCTCTGGATAAAGCAAGAAAGGGTTTTAGCATTCTTACAGTTTGACATTTTCCATCATAAAATGTATCCAAAACCTTGCCTTTATTCTATGTATGTAGCGAAACATTAAAACAGAAAACGAATGTTATTTTGCATTGTATTTTCCATGCTAGGACACGCTATCAAACAGCAGTAGTTCCATCAATGTAATATAGCCCAGTAAACTGCAATTCAGCATTTTTCAATAATTCTATACATTAGGCATTACTATCCTAGATGACCTTACTTGAACAAGATAAGTTATGTAGGTTTGTACACATGTCCTGAGTTTAAGAGGCAGGAGCCTAAACCTGATTGATGAACCCTGTGTTGACTCTTCGAAGTCCACTTCTCAGTTGAAAAGTGGTAACCTGGATTTCCATGGAAGTTGGGGAGAAGTGGGTTAAAATCCCCCATCCCCTAGCTACCAATATGCTAGTTCCGAAGCAGAAAAAGACATTACTATCCTACACTTTTCCTAATCCCTATAAGTGCATTGATTTCAAGGATTATTAAACTATACTTTGCAAAAGTGAACTTAATATTATGGCATTGTACAAGTTTTCAAAACATATTTCCAAGCATTACGGATTTCTTGGAAAGTAACATTTCCAACGTTTTGCTTGATTGTATTCCCATCATGATAAGGGATGGGTATGCTGGTTTTCCATGACATGGAAATGTAACTCATTTTTTTGCCCAACTATTGACTTTCACTCCCACTTCTTTCTACCACATTCTTTCCCCCATTATTTGAATTTTGAACTATTAAATGCAGCCATATATATTTACCCAAAAATAATGTTCCTAGTCATACCCCAAAACAATTTCCTCCTATGTCATTAAATACTTCACATACCCCTTAAACACGCTAACTCCTTAAAAAATTGATCTCCATTGCCGACTATTGTCCTGACTCCTGAATTGCTTGGAACTGGGCTATGTCATGTAAACTTAAGTAGGAAAAAATCATTTATATGTTTGAAAGGCATAAACTTTGAAGTGATAGGCAACAAAAGAAGACAGCTGCTGAAATATGCTTTGAAGTGATATCAAGTTTTTCATTATCAAGCTTTCTAATAAAGAACATCAAGGACATGAAATGCAATAAAACATATAGAAGAAAAAGAAAAAAACTTTAAGGATGCTGCAGAAAGTTGTAGTTGCAGAGCAATTACAAAGAAAAAATTTAGGCATGTAGCTGTTAACACCACATATAATCTTGGTCACAATTTAGCAATACATACATAAGAATATGTCTATTTGATAGGAATAGCCACATACAGAAGATGAAAATAATAACTAAGATTTTGATGCATTTAAAGACAATGGCCACTATTCTTAATAGAAATATTTTATTTTATGGGAAAGAGACACCCTGTGAGAAGTAGCTATCCTATCTACCCTGACAGAACCAAACTCAACATTTAAGATGCATGTGGTGAAGCATATGCCCGTTAAAATACAAAATTCTGCAGTAAAAGTTTGTGGATCATATTTTGTTGCAAGGGTTTTAGGGGTGTAGATAGACTGATTACAACGTCCTAGAGCAAATTATTAGTGTAAGCTTTCAAGAATTATGACAAAAGCTCTCAGCAGAGCCAGAAATATTGACAAGCAAGTCAATGGTGTCCACAAAATGCCAAAACAAAAGTGTATTCCACAAAAATTTAGCCAAAAACTAGGTTTTCAAGAAAAGTCACTTGAATTCTAAATCATTTTAAGCTAAAAGAAGAATTCTAAACCATTTCATGACTTGCGAATTCCTAACATTTGACATCCAAAGGTAGCATTTCAAATTTCAGATCCTCTTAAATCCAAACATACACTAAGAGTAACTATGAAAACTAAGCTTTGCACAACCCATGAACAGTGATATGATATTCCTGACATATCTGGAACATATGAAACAAGTAATTAGGATAAAGAAAACACTGTTTTTTTTTTCTTTTTTGTTAAATTTGAAAATAACGAGTCACACAATCAGATGCGTAGATCTGCAAAAGAGAAGAATTCGAAGGAAATGGAAGAAGGATGAATCTTACATCATAGCCATCATAACTTGTTTGAGATCGTTTTCGATATTCCTCATGTTCGCTATGGATTGTGCACAAAATATGAGAGCCAGCCAAGAGCCCAGTTTGTACTGATTTCAAAAATTAAAGAAGAAAACCGAAACAAAGACTGTATTATTATACAAATTACAAGATCCATCATCCAAAGAGCGAAGAGCGAAGGGACAGTACTATGAAGAATACAAACCCTGAACATGACGCCCACGACGCCGAATATGACGGCGATGAAACCCGCGTAATCAATCGGCAGGTCTTGCGGCGATACCGTTGGCGCCACGTATGGTCTCGCCGCCGATGGCTGACGTGGATCGCTCCCGTGCGATGACATCTCTCTCTCTCTCTCTCCTGTGCGTGTGTTTGGGTAAAGTTATTCTTGCAAATAAGATCGAAAATACTCAGGGAGTTCATAAAGATTAATTTCGGGCATTTTTTAAGGTTTAGTTTTTAAAAAAATATTGTTTTGATCTATAAATTCATTTAAAAATTATTTTGTCATAATTTTTTAAATAAAAAACTAAACAAATTATTGAGTCTATATATGTATATAGAATAATGGACTGTTAATAATAATAATAATAATAATAATAATGTAAACAAAGATAAAAAGTTATTTTGCATAAAAATTCTTTATGAAAATTAAATTTTATTAATTTAATATTGAATAAAATAATATATTTATGTTAATTATACTTATCAAATTTTAGATAAATTAAATATTCATAAATATATAATTTAATAATTAAAATTAACTTATACTTTTAGATATCCAATTAAATTCGTTTAAAATTATTTAAATTTTAATTTATACAATTTTTTAAAACTTAATCTATTTAAAAATAACATATAATATAATTTTTAAATTAATAAAATTTAATATTTATAAAAAAATATTAAATTAATAATTTTATCAAAATTACTATTAAAATAACTTAATTCTCACCTATGATAGCCTACATGATATTATATTGGTTATATTTACTTAAAAACTTTAATTTATCACGTTTAACTTTTAATGGTTTAAAAATTTAATATTTTTGACAATTAAACTAGCTTTATTAAAAGTAAGCAAGATATAGATAATGCTTTAATTTTTTAAGAACTTTTAAAGTTTTATTAAACATACAGAGTAGAATTTTATAATAATTTTTTATTTTATGATGTTTGTAATATCTCTATTTTTACTTTTTCATTCACTTATTAAAACATAAATATTTAAGAGAAATAAAATTAATTTATAAGATAAAACGAGTAGTATGAAAACGTAATGACATTGAAATTTTTATGAAAATGAATTTTTTCATGATACTTTGCAAAAACATTAGAAATACCTTTTATTACAATATAAGAATTCAACATAAAATATAATAGAATTGATGAAGTTATTTGTTGAATATTACAAATATAATTTAAATTATTATTTATAATAATTCTTATTAAACCTTTCAAATGTTAAATTTATCATACATTATTTACATATCAAAATTTATTTCTAACTAAGACTTAATCAAAACTTTTACAACTTTAATACAAATTAAAGCCTACAGAGCATATCCTTCTTTGCAACACCACTGAGAATATGATTTTTAGAACGGACCATTTTTCACTTTAATTCCTATAAGAGTGGATGTAAGGGTGAGTAATCTCATTTCCAATAATTTATTAATTTAAGTATTATCTAAAATTTACACATAAGACCTAAATTTATGCTAATATAATAAATAAAACTAGTTTCAATACTAAATTAATAAAATCATAACAACAACACTTTCGTTATTTAAACTTTACATCATACAATACGTACTAACATAATATCAAGTCATACATTACATTCACTGACATTACATCAAGCCAACAAATCATACATCACTTTCTCATTACTTCGAACATACACTATGTTCACACTATTTCATCTATTTTCATACCGAGCAATATGTCATAATAAGTGTATTACAACCATATTAATTAATGCATTATGATACATGCATTATAATTACACCCGTTGATATATTACAATACCTGTATTGTAATTACATTAATTAATCCATTATGATTCACCTATTACAAACACACATCTCACAAATTCACATTCATTGTCTCTGGGATCCCTTGAAGTCTTACATACGTATAGATAGCTACTGGTTAGCCGCAACAATACGGATTCAACGTGTATTCCTCCGACCCCTTTTAACAAAGGTATAATCAGGAATCATGTCAGAAAATGGGTGTGTAGCATATAAATGCTTTTCCTTTCAGCAAATCATCATACATTATCTTACAATTAGCATTAACCACCCTCATTTCTTCAAGATTTTTCAAATTTTCTTCAAGCTCTATATCCCCAATGTATCTCTGTAACTATACTGTGTCTTAGCATTTCTCATGACACTTACTTTCTTAGTATTTCATCTGACATTCAAATTATCAACAATTTTCATTCCAATTCATTTTCTCAAAACTTCAGTATTTTCACATGACACATATCTTATCATCATTTCAGCATTTCATATTCCATACAATTTATCATCATTTTCCTTTCCACTTGATAATATAAACTTAAATTCAACATGCACACTTATTCTCATCAACTCTTTATTCATAAATTCTGAGTAAATATACATTACCATTCCAAACAATCAAATATTTTTCATAATGACTTGAATTCATAAATCTCCACATTCATCAATTATCAAACACAAACTCACACTCATCACAATACACAATTCCAATATTGACAATTCATTCACCTATCTCACATTATCCACATCAATAAAGTGTGTCGAATGTCGGTCACCCTCGATCTCAAACTAGTCGCGTAGTTAAGCACATATTAAGCTAAACCACAGAGAAATTGTCGGATATCACACTCTCTTGGTCTCTTATAAAATATTTTAATATAGCAATAATTATACGTGCATATTAACATCAAGATCATAATTTTCCTTAAAAAAAAAACTTGTTATACTCATAAATTTTGTTACAAAATCCCAACTAGGTGTTTTCAAAAATAGACCATCAGGCTTTCATGCTCTAAAAATCTCAGTCTATGAAGATTTTACTATTCAACATAAAGTGTTGATGTTTTTAACCCATATATAGAATAAGAGTTAGGGTTCAAGATTTACTCCCCTTACCTGGAAACAAGTCTATAATATTAAATCCTTCTTGAGATTCAAAGTAAAGGTACAACACTTCTGATGGAAGATTTTGCTGAAATATAGAGATCTCCCTAAATATTACAAGGTAAACACCTATTGAGAAAGAGAGAATCGAAAGAAAATGGGGTAAAGTTAGAGATCTAAGTTTCGAGGAACTTACTTGGTTCTGAATGGAATAGATGTTTGAGCTTGGATTTGGAAGAGATTCGAAGTTCAGGAAAGCTTCTCTTGATAGGGAATAGAGGGAGAACAGAGAAAAACGAAGAGAGAAGGTTGTCTTGTGAGAAATGAATGTTTTTAGAGCTGAGGTTCCTTAAATACCCCACTAAACCAGCTCATTCTCGCTTAAGCGAGCAGATTCTCGCTTAGGCAAGCTGTACCCTTGCCTGGGCGAGCCTCCCTCGCCTGAGCAAGACAACCAGATAGTGAAAATACTCCTTTTTTTTGCTATTCTCGCTTGAGTAAGAACATTCTTCCCTGAGCAAGAGGTAATCTCACCTGAGCGAGCTCCATCTCGCTTGAGTAAAAATTGGTCTAGAGACCTCTCTCTTTTCCTATGACTCCTCACCTGGGTGAGTTGCTTCTCACCTGAGCAAGAGTATAGTTGAGTCAGTCTTATCTTTAGTGAGCGAGAAAGCTCCAAAACGTCCTCTTTTAAAAAACTCTATCTCGCTCAAGCGATACTTATTTCGCTTAAGCGAGAAACTTTGCACCAAAATTCTTATTTTTCCCACACAAGGACAACAAAATTGAGGATGTTACAATGTTCATTATTTGGAATTAAGGATTTATAACTTTTTTTATGCCAACAACTAGATTATGACATAATATAAAAGTAATCATCCCTTAATTTTATCTACACTATGGTGGATATGGAGGGTTAGGAATATTGATTGCATTGCTAGAAAAAAATTACAAGTTATAAAATTATGCTTAATGTTATGAACCTTACCAACAAGCTTTATTTATGTGAAAAGGTGCAGTAATCTCAAGCCTGCCTGGAGTGTTAGGTTCACTAGGAGGCTGACCAAAACTTTGAACTCATCTTTGAATTTGATGGGAGTGCTTGGAGAAGTATAGAAAAAGTTGATTTTGGAGCTCTTATTAGAAAAAGGATGAAAGTTGGCTTAGAGGAGCTTTTGGATTCATTGGCATTTCTAATAATACTTAAGCTGAATTCACAGCCATGCTTCAAGAGTTGAAAATGACTTGGAATCTAAATAACAAACATCTTTTGTGTTACTCTATCGCAACGGGGATTATAAACCTTGTGATGAACATTGTTCTACCTTTCCACTAGTATATTAATCTCATTTGTGATATAAAGGAGTAGCTAAGAAAAGACTAATAAATCATCAGCAGACACATCCTACATGAAAACAACACATATGCAAATTTTTTAGTTAAGTTGGTAGCTTCTTTAGATTGTAGTTTCAAAGATAGAGTCTCACTTCCCACAGACTTGAGATTACTTCTTTAGGCTAATGTTAGACGAGTCCCATATTTTATATTGCAATTTTTCCTTCCTTTTTTTTTTTTCCTTTTGTTTGTTTCTTTACTTTCCTCTAACAAAAAAGTTTAGTTTTTATCCAATATCTTAACCTCCTATAGAATTTAATCATTATCTTAATTTTTTTAAAATTTTAAATTTTGTTTTATTATTTTGAAATAGGACACGCATAAAATTATTTATTCACATTTCTCATATTTATATATTTCGTACTAAATAATATTAATAATAAAATTTTTCATATTATTAAGATAAGAAATTGGTAAATAAGTGAATCAATTTTATTTATAATTCCATATAAGATAAAAAAATAAAATCTAAAGATGAAAAGGGCATTGCTCAGTGTTTGAATATAGCGATTATCAATCATACTCTAGGTTTTACAAAATAAATAAATAAATAAATAAAAATGTTTGTTAGATTTTGAGTTTTGTTTGAAAATAAATAGGTGTGTCAAATTCTAGACTTTAGCAAAAGGTAAAGGTATTAGTGTTAGGCTTCAGACTTTAAGAGAAAAGTGAATATGTTAGACAGATTATGAACTTTAAGATAAAAGTAAAGGAACCGGTGAAATTCTAAACTTTGAAAAAAAAAAATTAAAGATGCAAGTGAAATTTCAAACTTTTAGAGAAAGTAAACGGGTCAGTCAGATTCTAGACCTTGAGAGAAAAGTGAAGATGTCAGTTAAATTCTATATTTCGAGAAAAAGTAAAGGGATCAATTA